CATATGGATAACTGAAGTACTCTTTTGTCACTTCTATTCCCATTAGGAATAGCACTGAAAAACATATCGCTTTCACAAATAGTTTTAAATACTTTCTGACAAATTGAATAACTATTGTAAAATATAAATATATTGAATACATTTGTAAAAATTAAATTTTTACACTTTGTTTTATTGTAGTATATTTTGTTTCGTTAATATTGAACAATATCTTCAAAAACAAATTGCATGTCCAAAGTATGTGCACCAGATTTACAGTAACTTTAGCAATATACAGATATCATTCATTGAACTTTATAAATAATTAAATTGTTTATTTACAAATGTAAACATTGTACTAGAATCATTAGTGTTTGCAATCATTGCAGTGTATCATCATAATGAAATATTTCTAATAAATTACATTTTTTTAAAAATAATAAAATGACGCTAATAACGTTATACAACTATGTACACTGTATGTTACAAAATACTTTATGTGCAACATAAAAAAAATAATTTTATTTCCCAATTTATTTGGTCACTTTTGTACATGTGCAATCTATATTTATGTTGTTAACTATACTAAAACAGTTATTACGTTATTAAAATATATACATTTTAATGTTTCATATTATTTTGACTCATATTTTGTAATAATTATTAAATAAAACTAACTAGGCCAACAATGTTACCAACATGGCACCATTGTAATTGAAACACATAAAATAGTTTTTAAAATTAAATATTTATAGGTATTTACCAAGTACGTGAGAAAATATAATAAATCACAATGTATTAAATAAGAAATGATATGAGCTAGGGACAACCATAGTAACGTTAGCTATTTTTATTAATACTTTANTAAAATTTTGATTTTAAATAGCAATGAAATTCTAACTTTATTTATTTAAACACTATATTTCATTAATAATATATGAGCTAGGGACAACCATAGTAACGTTAGCTATTTTTATTAATACTTTAAAACCCAGTAATATTTTAACCTGATAAGTTATAATACTACTCGTTACCTTAAACCTATGAATATTTTATGAATAATTGACTTTTGAATAAAATTAATAATTAGATATAATAAATATAAAATAGCTAACGTTACTATGGTTGTCCCTAGCTCATATATTATTAATGAAATATAGTGTTTAAATAAATAAAGTTAGAATTTCATTGCTATTTAAAATCAAAATTTTATTTCAAACGAAAAATATTACATAATTTATCAGCAAGTAAAAATTTGTACTTGTTTCACATTTGTAATTGTATCATTTGCAATTATTTACATAAAACTTATATACATGTAACACGGTTCTTAAAATATTAAAAATATTATTACAATTAAACGTAAATTAAACAAATTGTACCAAGGGTCTTTTTTCCTCAGATGTACCTGAGCGGCACCGGTGCTGACAACTAGTAGTTAGTACTGCGAGGGCACCGATACCCAGAAACGCCAGTCCCATGTATAGTAAGGTATACGCCGTTGATTCGTCATTATTACCGTAAAAGTCAGCGCCAATTCCCACCAAAAATAACCCGGTTATAAGGGTAACGGTCAGTATGAAGTTGTCAGCAATCATGTCCAGTTCCCAATCACCAGGTTAGTTTTTAATGTAAATTAATTTTGATTTAGTTTAGTTTAATATTTATTGTTTATGAAAATGTCGGGGATTTTTGCACATGTATGTTTGTATCATAAGTGTATCATAATTATTTGTTTTGTCTCTAAGTGTTTGTATAATTATTATATATTGCAAGTACCAGGGTGGCTAATTATTATTATTTACTTTGTGATAGCAATAGGTTTGACACAGGTACAACGGTGATTTATTTATTAAAGTTTTATTTTTAAAAATACTATTTATTGTAAACATTATGGAAAGGTACTGTTAAAATTATTTTAAATTTATTTTACTGTACTAGTAAACTTGGTGATTAAATAATATTTTATTGATAATATTTTAGTACAGAATACGCTAATTATAAAAATTATATTTTATAAATTTATAGAAATATAAACTAGTAAATATTCATATTTTAAAAAATCATATTTACTATGAAGTTTAAATTTTAATAAATATATTTGAATTAACAAATATTATATATTAAATATTTTGCTATTACTTATATTTACATGTATGTTAACTGCACTGTATGATTTGAACATACTTACTGTATAATCAATTAAAACTTTATTAAAACAATATTATCAACCTGATAATAAATGTTCAAAAGTCACTACTTACGTATAGTTAGCACCAAATGTGAATGTGTTATTACCAAATAAGTTAATCTCATTTTATCATAAATTTTTTATCAAAACTAAATTTTTTTAAAAGTTATAATTAATTTGTTATGCAATAAATGTCAATAATTATTAAACTTTAAATAACACCTTATTCTAATATTGTGAGCCGGTTTGTTTATAGACATTAAAAACATTAAACTAATATTCGTAACTAGTAAAAATACACAGACAAATGAATATAACTTTTAATATAGAAAACTGGCATGTATGTTTATATAAAAATATTTGTAGTACTTATAATGTAAAGTAAAATTTTTGATATTTCTCATACTTATTGACATTAAACCTGGTAATTCAAACATATTGCTAGTATTAAGTATTAAGTACATAATTTTGTGCATTTATAGTATATTGAATGCAATAAAATATCACTAATGCAATATGTACATAAGTACTCTATGTACTACACGTCAATATATATTATACTGTCATAATAATTATTACAGTGTATAACATTAGATGGCATATCACATTTAAAAATATTTTATCTACCTCTCTCAATATTATTATGATTATTATAAAAAATAATTTTTGTATTATATATTTTACCGAGATATTTTTTAAAAACATAAATTAGAATAAAATTAATAATTTTAACGATTTATAAAAAGTTATTTTTGAGAGAGAGAGAGAGAGAGTGCAAAGAATTAATTAACGTGTTATATTCAAGGTAATATCTATACAATAATTGAGTACAAATAGGTACACAAGTTAACTGTTTAAAAATTTAAATTCCTTCTACCTGCACTCATCATATTGTCTAGTTGACCCTGATACTTTAGTTAACCCCGCGCACCTATTTTACCATGTACTAAATGTACTTAATTATGGACTTAACACTTCCGATAATAAAAATTACCGTAATATGTAATGCTTTAATATAAATCACAATAAAAAGTACTGATGTTTTGATAAGCACCGGGACATTAGTACTATGTACTGTACTATTGCATTATTAGCTAGGCAACAATTATGTAGCACCTCCCCTGGTAATGTATGTATGTATATTGACTGTTATTGTATATAAATAGCAGTTTAAGTCCTATTGAAAAGTATAGTCAATAAGTTTACGGACTTTAAAAATATTTAATAAAATTATATTTACTTTTGTGGAAAAAAGTATTTAAAAACTTTGATAATAATGGTGGACTTCACTGGTAAATTCAAACTGACCTCATCGGACAACTTCGACGAGTTTCTCAAGCAACTGGGTGAGTTTTAAAATATTTCTATTATGTATTACATTATGATTGTAATAACTTTATAATTATTAAGTTCAAAATTGTTTTTGTTATTTTATACAATAAGAATAAGTTTTTACTAATTTATTTCAATAACCTTTCAGTTAATATAATTAGTTTCATAATATAATATTATAAGTAGCATAACTTAATTGTATCCAGTTAAATATAGCGTTCATATTACATACATTATGATTATAATGACAGAATATTCAGTAAAAATAGTACTTATTTTTTACAACTCATAAAAATTATATAATATAAATATAAAACTAATTATAGTAATAGAAAATAAAATATATATTTTAAAAATTACTTCAAAAGGCGTTAACTTTGTGGTGAGAAATTTGGCCAAATCTGCGACACCGACGGTCGAGATTAGCAAAGATGGCGACCTCTTCACCATTAAGACTATATCCATAAAGAACACGGAAATTAAGTTTGAATTGGGAAAGGAGTTCGAGGAGGCCCGGGCTGATGGCAAGAATGTCAAGGTATACATACATCCCTGGTCACCCATACCACTACCTGCCACAATTCCATATTAGTCTAGGTCCTAGAATCCTCGCGTATACTATTGAACAATATATTAAGCAATTAATAAATAGACCTAGTATGATATAATAGTTATATTACATGCTAAGATATTAGGGTATAATATAGGGAAATTAATTAAAAACTAAACGTGCTTGCTCAACTGTAATATTACTTAATAATTGTATAACATATTTTTTAACCAGTATAATTTTTGTTAATTATGCTTTTTATTACCGGGAATGAGCTTATTAAAAAAACACTATTTATTAATTTATATGTGATTATTGTACTAGTATCAACTAATTTATTTTACATTTTTATAGACTTCCATTGTGGCCGATGGTAACAAACTGATCCAGGTGCAAAAGGGGGACAAGGAGGTCAAAATAGTGCGCGAGTTTAACGGCAATGAACTTAAAATGATTTTAACCGTGGGGTCGGTCACCAGCGTACGTGTCTACACGAGACAGTAAATGTGTCTAGCTCACAAAATCCAGATCAGTTTTCATAAATTTACTTTTTAACTTAATTTATTATTATATTTATTTTGTTTGAACACATTTTAGTGTAGTTATGAATTTGTTTATGATAGTGACTTTAAGTACCCTGAGTATAAAGTTAATTTACAAATTATATAATTCACAAAAAATATATTTAGGTTTTAGAAACATAAATAAAGTTTATTTAAAATTATTTAAAATTACAAATAAAATTATTAACAGTAGACTTAATATTTGTTTATATTTATAAATTATATGAATTTAGAAAGTATTATGTTTGAAAAAATTAATTTATCTAATTCAAATAAAATTTAAAATATTTTAAATATATAACCAATTTACAATTTTTTAAGAGTGAGTGAGTGAGTGAGAGAGAGAGANGAGAGAGAGAGAGAGAGAGAGAGAGAGAGAGAGAGAGAGAGACTGTTAACGAATACAATATTACGGTTGATATAACTTATCATGCAAATGACCGAGTGCAAATAAGTACAAAAAATGACAAATTGCATCATGAAAAATCTTGATTAAATATACTGACAATGGAATAATTTATACCATATAAGTATAAAGTTATATTTAGTGGAAAGGGATGTAGAGGTCAGGGATGTCTATCTATTTAATAGATTCTATTAGAAAGTATATTTTCCAAATTGACACTAATTCATTGCCACACCATTAAATAAATTGCTATTAATATTCATTAAATGATTCACATATTCATGAGAATAACCAGTTTATAAATAAATATTAATTTTAATAAAATTACTTTTAAATTATTAACACTAAACTCTTTTATAAAAATAAACTATCCAGTATAAATAGCTTTAGAAAATTAATTATAAAATCTAAATATTATTTAACCGTGATTTGTTATGTGTACTAATATTATAATAGCAATTAATATAAATATAAATATTTTATTAATTTTTAAAAATCTATTTAATTTGGTTATCAATACCGGGTGTACACTATATGTATGATTATTATTGAAGGTCACACGTATTGAATGAATGGACCCGTTATATAATATACCGTTACATAGGGTGTACATGTATTTCTATAAACAACCAGTCATTTCTCATATGATTTCCAAATATTTATCGCAAAAAAGTTTTTATCAATAAGTTATTCAATTTCAAAGTCCTTTATACAAGTAAAACAAATGAAAACTTTTTATTTCGACACTAAGTTTTTAAAACATTTTAATATTTTATTAATACTTTGGGTAATCAGTAAAATTAAAAAAGTTACGCTACACTCGAGTACCGTTATAATAAACTATTATTAATAAATAAATTTATATTAAAGTCAAAAGCCATAATTTGGTTACGTTTAATAGTTTTTAATTTTAAAAATAGCTAGATAAAAATTATTCTTATATAATACATTTTAAAACTAATCAACAAATAAAGTAATATTAACTGTATATGACTGTTTAAAAATAATACACCTGTATAAAATTATGATTGTAGTATCAATGTCTAGCATCACTAACCCTGATAATTGACCTGACACACCCATTATCAAAAACCAGCTACCATTCCCCTTACATACAGTAGAAGCTATTTAGCCCCCTGAATATGTACTCAAATTAGTGCCCTTAATATCACTGTTTAAATTGAATTATTAGTTTAGGTTATAAATGTTATCAAGATCATAGTGTACTAACTTTCACTAAATAAACTCGCAGTAAATAAAAATTATGATACAGTACTATAGTATTAACTTATTTCAATGAAAAGTACTATTCTAGCCACTAGTACTATTGCACACAAACAGGGTAACATACATTTTTAATTAAAAAACATATAACTTTTGAAAATATACACTAATAATACTGTTCAATATAACTACTAATGTACATAAAATAAGATATTTTAATTTAAATTACCCGCTAATGTAAGTTAATTTAGTTTAAAATAATTTAAATAACTAACTGAGCCTG